ACAACAAAAATATAATTAATTACATATTATGTAAGCAAATTTTCCAATACAAAAATTTCAAGCAATGAAATTTCTCACTGGCCTGCACTCATATACATATGTATATAATGTCACATTTGCCAACTTTTGATGTGTACAAATGCTTGTACCTAGATCGTGAAGATTTAAGGCCTTAGCACACAAAAAATTCACGTACTAATGGATTATTTATATAAAATAACATGCTAATTAAGAAAAAAAAGTAAACTGATAATCCTTGGTGATCTACATAAAGAGGTATATACATATACATATATACTATATAAATATGCAGCACAAAAATCTCTGTTTAGTTCCAGTCTAATGACGCTTTAACAAAAAAATTGCAATTAGAGAATTCCACTAGGTGGGGCATATAGCCAGTATACAAACATATTTAAATATATACAGTTATAATTCGAATATATAGATACGTCATACAGCTTAATAGCAAAAATTTGCAGCGGTGAAGTAATAAAAATTAAAAATAAAGAAAATAAAATGCAACAAGTGGAGAAAACTAGAGATTTCTCAACAAATAGCCGACAAATTTTCCAGCATTTCTTAAATAACACGAGGCATACGCGCGTGAAAAAGCGAAATTAAATACATATGTAAGTGGAACAAAATGTATATAAATGTATGACGACTGGTGCTCATATTTGTTATTTGAAAACTGAAAACCACAAAGCAGCGCCAACACGCACCAAAGCTCAAGCAGCCATTTCAATCAGTTTAGATTGAACTGTCTTCGAGTGTACACCTTTGCTTTGGATATTCTATTGCAGCATAAAGAAAACTTGTTGATTTCTCAACTGTTGTGAAAATTTTTTGGCAAAAAACAAAATGAAACAAATCATTGCTTTAGTGCTCTTCGCGGCCTGTCTATTGCCCAGCGGTAAGCGTGGAGTGTAGATACATATGTATAAAAGAATATGTCTATATATACATAGTACATACATACAATTTACATATATGCCGTTACACACGTTAATTAGTGACAATAACGGTGTAATAAAATATAACCTTGAGGAGCTTAAGCTGGAGTTATGTGTCTGAAAGTGTGTGTGTGTCATCGCAATAGCGACTTAAAAGTGAAGATTTCCATAATTTTCAAATTTTTCATACAAGGTGTTTCATTTTTATAAAAATATTACATTAATAGCAGCCCAAAAAAGTCAACAGTTTTGCGTTATGCGTATATTTACTTAAGAAATACATTGACTTTTGCCTGCAACCCACAACATTTGGAACAGCGGTCGCTTGACTAAGCGCAAACGCACTTACATACATATATACAAATACACAAAAAAAAACATACATATGTAGGTATGCATGCACATCGGCAACAACGCTTGCATATAAATAGCGATTTTGTCATCATGTTTGTTTTTGTTTTTGCGGTTTTTAATTTTTTTTTTTTTATTTGTTTTTGGGTTTCTATTTTTTTAAGTTTTTTTTTCATTTTATTCCATGTTTTTATTTTTCTCATTTTTATTTTTTTATTTTAATTATTTATTTTTTGGAATTTTTATTTCATTTTTTTTTAATATACACATATATTTGTTTTCATTTCATAGCAAAATTTTCAGCAGGCATTCAAAAATGCCTCAGACTTACAGCTCTCCAATGCGAAATTTACATATCATATTTACATATGTTTGTATGTATGTACATATGTACATATGTATGTATATGCAAACTCATGTGATCGCATTTGGGCGTTATAGTCAAGTACACTGACATACATACTCTAAGTCGTATTTGTAATATACATATGTAGATATTATATGTAAGCTTATGCAAATAAACTCTGAATTAGACACTTGCCAGCTACAGCTCAGTCTTCTTTAATTACAAAAAAAAACCGGTTTTTGTTAGACAAACGAAGCAAAGTAATGTCATCGTTCAATAATACAGTTTTCTTTAACGTCAAAGTTTAGACGCAATAAATGAACTTTTAAAGTCAAAATGTATGTATGTACATATGTATCGGTATTAATAATTTCATTTCAAACTGGTTTAAAATTTACACAGTAACTTTTATGCATGTTTGTTTGTATATAAGCAACTTAACATTCTTGAGAAAGCTTTATAAAATAAAATTTACATATTTAATTATATATAAAAAAAAAAATATTATTTTTAAGCAAGTTTGTGTTTTTTCTTTGCCATTTTATCTCTTCTGGAAAAAATAAAATATTTTTAAATTGCAAAACTTACAGCTTCGTAGCAAATTTACTGAGCTTTTTTGATAGAGTTAACCGTCGTCAGAAATCAACAAAAAAAATTAGTCAAAATAATAATAATACGTTTTTTAAAATAGAGATTTCTAAGAACTGATTTTACAGGGTGCCAAGCGAAAAAAATATTCAGCTTTTTTTAACTATCCTAATATATATTTTTTATTTTATTTTATTTATTTTTAAATTTTCCATTAACAATAATTTAAGTACCAATTTTTCAGATTTTTTCCATCGAAAAAAATATTAATATATTTTTGAACCACCCTAACATATAAATATGTACATACATGTGTATATATTTATATTTTTTTGGTTTTTGTTTTTATATACATACTTACATATTCTATTATCAATAAAAAATCTTTATTTATATCTTTTTTTTTTTAATTTTTAGGTGATGCCATTAAATGCTATCAATGCAAATCGCTCACGGAAGCAAATTGTGCCAAGGACGTCATCGATGCCACCTTAAATATTCAATCTGTCGATTGCGATCAGGTGGCCAAACCTAACACTATGGATCAGTTGTTGCCGGTTACTAAATGCAACAAAGTTGTAACTAGCGGTAGGTTCAAGTGATTTCAAAACATATTTTGATAAAAAAAAAATAAATAAAAATATTTACA